GAGACAAGCAAAAATATTTAATTAAATCCATAATCAAACCAAATACATTTTATAAATACATACATTTAAATACCTATAACTAATATATTTAAGACACTAAACGGGCCATGTATATCCTTTTCTGCAGTTGCTGTCTGGACGTGAGACTCTCAGATGCCAAGGCTGCATGCTCCTGTCTCCAAACACAACAGTAGAGGAGATGGGGAGTCGACAGTGTCCTTCAGAGCTTAAAGCAGCCAGGCAACACGCCGAGCTGTCAGCCACACGTCCAGCCACGCTCTCCCCCCGCGAGTCTGCTCCACTAAACCTGACTATACCTGTGTGTAGGCGGGTGTTTATCACATTGTGGGGACTAAAATCTGTATTCACGCTCAATTTATGCAGACCTGAACACTTAAGGGGACAAAAATCAGGTCCCCATGACATTCATCCTTTATTATAGGGCCAATAACATGATTTAAAGTTTGGATATAGGTTAAAATAGCTTAATGTTGGCGCTTTGGTTAAGGATGGGCAAGTAGTAACTATGGTTTAAAGTTAGGATCAATCTCCAGGGAGTGCAAGTTAATGTAATGCCCCCAAAAAGCAAAGAAATGTAACATGGTTGTTTCAGTGTCTGTGTCTCGGGGCACTATGGTTAATCCAGATTCACTCCCCAGGCCTGATGCCAGAGCACCCAGCATGCCTTCTGTTGTACCTGTATTGCTAATGAGGAGAGCTCAAGCTTAATATATTCAATTCAAAAGAAAGAACTTTACTTGACTGGATTTTAAAAGGATTTACTGACCCTTTGCCATCAAGCTACCACAAATAGCCTAAAAATGTGCAACTACTGATATAGATCGAGCCTTTACCCCTTAAGTAGAATCAGTCTTGTTTATACATCCCCACTGAAGTACAATCAGATAAATGTGACTGGATAGTGGAAGAGAATTAATAAAACCCAAGCTAAATGCATGTAATGTGATTGAGATTAATGTCCCGTTAAAGCAGGCCTATTATGCAAAATTGACTTATCCAAGCATTTAACCATGTTATATAGATGTTTTCCCTTCTCATTTACCCTGTCAGAATTGTATTAGGAATAATTCATGCATGTTGGAGTAATCTTTAATCGTTTACTTTCGAAACAACATTTTGCCGCTCAACTCCCATTATCACCATCACTGGCTTAATCAGTGAGACGCAAAGAATTTGGCAGCTTTGCATAGTCATTTTAGTACAAATGGGAAAAAAAAACTGCTACACGGAATTGCGGACAACTTCACAGATCTTTGTTGTGATGACATTTACGGCGATATCAGCTCCCACTGGACATCGCAATTCTAACACGAAAGTTGTGGGCTTGTTTCTTTTATTAAGTTGTTTTAGATTAATACTTCAATTTAAAATGCACAAATTATGACATAATGATAAATGGGTGCCACTGATTATAACTATATAGCAGACACAAGCACAAGTCACAGTTATTATGAGTGGACGCATTTCTCGAGCTACCATAAAAAAACATATTCACCAAGACAGGCACTGGCCAGAAAGTAAAAGTAGGCTAGCTGATTGAAATATAAAATAAACAAAAAAAGTTTAATTGAGGCCTCCATTAGAATGAGGGAATTCAAATTAGAGAAGGTCAAATTGTTAGTGCAATCTGCAAAGTTTTGGTAAAGTTTCTTTTGCATAATTTATCTAGAATATCAGTAAAGGTCGTCTCCCAAAAGGCCAAACCAACCAATATATTTTCTTATTAAATGGAGACGAGGGAAGAGTTATTTGTGGCATTGCAGGCCAAAAGGTGAGTACATGTTAGAGCTCTCACAACTCCCAAGTGGATACAACATTCATATCTGAACTATACCAAAACTATGGTAAAAATTGTACTTTAAAAGAAAATGTAATTTAGCACATGCCTTAAAGAATTTGCTAGATGTAATTTTATGCCCATCTTTAATTAATATCTATCCACAATGATATGTTATCGTGTTGGTTTGCAGATTCACCACTGTATTTTCCAGTAACCACATTAGTGATCGTTTCCTTGGTTTTACAATAACACAAATGTTATGTTACTAGAAAATGTTCAAATCAATCGACAATTTGTGGTTGTCAAACTAATAGATGCCCAAATACTGAAACAGAAAAATCACATAAATAAGACAAATGTTGACCTTGGAATAGTTTTAGTTCATCTTATTCAATACTGTGTAAACTTCAATTCTTTGCATCATGGTCTCAAATTTCACTTAAACGATAATGACCATAGATTGGACAGCTATACGTTCTGTCTGACTGGCATGTCATTACTCCAACTGCCTGAGAGTTGCTTAAATGTCAACAAAAGATCAAACCACAACGTGAGCAGAGCTTGATGATGATTGCGATGCTGATTATGTGAATTACCTCAACCATACACACATTCAGAGGGCTTTTCAGCTGGTGATGCCATTATTGCAGCCGTATGCCAAGAGTGCTGCGTAGCCTAATTACCTGCATGTGTGTTGCAATGGGGGGAGCTGAACAAACAGAACTGTGTGTGAGAGAGAGTGGTGGAGTGTGTTGTTATAGTAATGCGAGATGTCAAAGGAGTCAGTCTCAAAGCTGCAGTTTAGGTGGTCCCTCTTAAAAGATTTACTCTAAACCTGGTGCAGTCATGTTTTTATGGGGTACACCTGTAAAATACTGCATTTGTGACGCAAGTAATAAGCTATGCCATACATTAATAAGTTAGATTAGATTAGTTTATTTGGAGGGAAGGAGGCAAAATTTGTGATTCAAGTTTGTCTTAGTCACATTTTGAAAATTGACTTTGGATGATAATTAATGTTTAGAAATATTATATTCCATTTTTTTTGTTTCCAAGGTTGCCACAGAAAATCATGTACTTTATAGTTTGTGCTGATTTTACTTTTGATTTGGTGTATTATATTCTTGTATCTTTCAGGCTATACCAGAATGAGTATATTGGCTGGTGCACAACTTGATAAACTAGATTCAAGATGGTCATGACAGCAAATTGATTTTACAGCAGTTGCTTGAAAAGACACACTGCCAATACACACACACACTCCCACACGCTTCAACATAACTAAAATAATGTTGTTGTTTTAATAAATAAACAACACAATTGCACCTAAATAGTTCAAATTTAGTCCCAGAATGCACTTGGCTTTTAAACAATGATCAATACAGCCCAGTGTGCTTGTGTTTGGACCTGAACTAAGCCTATTGATTGACGGAGGATTATGTGTGGTATTTAACACATTGCCTTGGCCTGAGAAGCTCTGTGGTGAATTCTGTCACCGCGGACCGTGGCTGTCACTGACATCAGCATCTCCTCTGTCCTCTCCTCCACTTCCTCAGCTGTCAAAGGGCTCAGTGTTCTTCCAGATGGGGCTCTGACTCACTGCCCCACAATGCATTGCGAGACCAAAAATTCTGGAAACTAAGAGTACTTGAATAAATACATAAACACAGGGTCTAGTTTTATTATGAGAAACTAAAGTGCCATTAGATATATGGTTGACTTTTGGTGACTTTACTATCTAAACATTTCATTCCAGTACAGTCCTTATCATAATGAGGTAAGAAGAGGTTTTGTGGCTTAATAATAATGATAATAGCATTTAGTCCAAGAATATCTTTATTTTAAATAATATTTCTGCTACTATATTGTTTTATAGGGAGATAGGAGCAGTGTCTTGGTGGGGCTTTAATGCAATATTTAACTAAGTTTTGGGATGCAAACACAGAACTGATTTACTTTCTCTCCGGCAATGCACTGAAAATTAGATATCAAACTAGGGACGTACCGATACTGATGATTATATTGAATATCTGCGCTGATCCAGGTGAATTTGCTGAATTGGGTATCAGTTCAGCCAATATCCTGGTTGGACTCTTTACTAACTGATGTTGGCCCAGAAAGCCTCACAATGTTTGATGAATAACAGTTAGATAACACAATTTGATCAATTTTTGAATAAGTTAACTTTGTTTTTCAGGAGGAAAAGGTCATTTTCAATGCCTACACTAGTATTGGGTAATATTGGATATCGGCAGATACATAAAGCCACAGTATCATTGTCTGTGTTGGAACTAGAACTGAAATGGCTGGATTGGTACATCCCTAGACCAAAGACCCTAATTTACATGGCACTAAAATATGTATCTTTGTATTGGCATGGGATGATACAGAGGTCATAACCCACATATGTCAATCACCATATCTGTCCATCCTGTAGCTATCTCAATCCCATCTGGTTTTGTTAATTGAGCTCCCTGGACAGGTGACATCCGACCTGTAGTTGAGGAGTGGAGAGGATCTGTCCAGCTACACATGAAAGGTAAGGATGTCCTGCGTGATCCTTCCCTAAAACTTGATCCTTTCTCTGATCCCCACCCTATCCTCGGCCCAGTTGTGTTTGTGGGGCACCATGATCCGCAACATGAGCACAGGTCAGTGTGGAAAAACATCAAGTCACGATGACGTCCGCCCGGTGGTCACTAGGTAAGAGGTCCTTCAAGCTAATACAACTAATTCTTTATATTCGTAAATGGGATGTGTACAAACCAGTGACCCTCCCCATGCACACACAAACCTTCCCTAGACATGTGGGAGGTTTTTGTGCAAAGCAACTGTCAATTCATAACAGTTTCCATAGGCATATTTCTTAACTGGAAATATTATAGATGATTATTTGAGGCAAATGTATATGGGCCAACATAAAATACTGCTAAGTAAGGGTAAAACAGATGGCATTAAATATGTGCTATATGTGCAAAAGTGTAGCTCACAACACCCTCTACCGATATAAGGGAAAAAATCATCTAAGACAATATTGCCGACAGATAATGCACATCACAAATACATGTGCACAAACTAACTCTTTCAATCCTCTGAAAATATAGGGATATCTGAAATTATGCACGAGAATTTTGGATTAACATCTTGAGAGATTAAAGAGCAGAATCCGTGTTTATGGCATGTGTCACTGAATCTTTACCTTTATAATGCTGCTCCTGCGTGGTGCTGCTTTCACAGACTCCAGAAGAATGGTGTCTGTGTCCTGGCCGCCACCGGGCACGATCACCCCGCTCCTCCGGCCGCGGGACGCTCTGGGAGGGATACAGTCTGGCGCTCCATCGCTGCACAGCCCGTCTCCAAATCCATCACGCTCAGACATGTTGACTCGAAGTAGGCTACAGGGCTTCGCTGTTTACACACGGGAAAATGAATTAACTCGTCGAAGCACAGAAAGTTTTTCTTGCCTGTGCATGGATGCCACAAATAGGTTTCTCCTACATCATCGTTTTCTGTCTGGAGGAAACAAAACGACCCAATTTCGGTAATTGTGAGCAGGATCTCACAGTCACTGAGCACCAAGCTGTCGGAGGTTTTTGGGCTACGGCTGACCCGCACAAATCATCTCCGCTGTGACGGAAATGTCCAAATCAGAGCAGAATTCTGGACACAGGCAGGTACAGTACCAACTTGAATGGAAACTCGTGCGCTCTCTGTACGCGCAACAAGTCAAGTTCCCTTTTTCGACTGCTTCAAGGCACGATGCGTGTAAAAACTAAATCCTAATAAGCCAGCTATGTTGCTTGGCTGAATAGTCTGTCAGTGCACCGGTTTGTCCACAAGCCAATCCCAAAACGAGTCAGAAAATAATCGAACCTAGGACCAAAACATATCGATGTCAACAAAGTGCAGAAAGAAGAGAAGTTTCTCGGTCGTAAGCGTGGATTCCAGCGATCAGGCGGCTCTGCGCGCGCAAATTGCACATCACTCAAACTGAAACTCATCCACGAGAATGATCTTGGTTATACTCCGAGCAACAACAGGAGACTTTTCACGAGAATAGGCAATACAATTGACAGTCGCGCCGCCTCTGACCCACCGCCTCCTCTACCTCCGTCCCTCGACTGCGCTCCGCCCATAAGCCGCCAGAAAACATTTGAGTGACGCGCACAACGGCCAATACGCTGCAAAAAAAGAGAGATTTGGAAGCACTGACAGGTGGAGATCCTCTGACAGAGACGCACTTAAAAGGGAGTGAAGTATGCAGGTTCAATTTCATGTACTGATGTGAATTGGACAACAATATAAAAAGGAACCACCGCTGTTCTTTTTGCAGATATTGAAAGTAAGCATATTATAAACATGATTAATTATTGTTACAACAATTATCACTAGGCCTATTACTTTTAAAGCCTGTTTCTATCCAACGCAGTCGAGCAAACGATAAGAAGACTTGATCAATACCCAGTCCAGGAGAAATGTTTAAAAACTTTTTAACAGAATCAATAAAATGTCTAATGAATTATTTAAGTGTACATTATAGGTATGCCTATTAGGCCTGCTACGCTACATGAACTATTCTTACAACAAGACCACTGCTGTAAAAACAAAACCAAAGAATCTAATATGCTCAGCAAAATACACGATCGGTGTACCTTCTCGACCACTTTACCGCCACCTGCTGTTTACAAATGGAACAGTTTCAAAATGTTTAAGTGGAATAGCCTCCCTTATTAACTATGCTTTTGCACACGCTCCTTTGTTGTCTGATAAATGTAAAACAGTTGAACAGGTGGTTGTTAAGAACTGAATTCCACATTTACTGTCAGTGCTCAGCCAAGGTGTTTATGTGTTTATTGAGTGATTACATATGTCCATTACAGCGGACACAGATCTTTTCAGTCAGCTCATTGCTCAGCACACAGAGTTCTGTTGTAAAATGGCTAAACAGAAACTATTAAAGACGTTTTTGGATGTAATGAGGCATACCTTAATGAGGTACTATGGGCAACGAAACACTAATTCTTTTTTATATGGGTGAAGCTACTCTGGTGCCTTGGAGTCTGTTCTATTTTCTCTTTGCACAAAATATTTAGGTAAAACTGCTATCACTATACTGAACACATGGGCTGACATTCACTGAGGTCTTACCCTATGGATCACTTTTCTTCTAAAGAAAAACCTCATATGTATCTTGCCCTCCATGTAAATGAAGACCCTAGAAACTTACTTGACCTTTGACCTATGGATATTACATATAGGTGTTTGGGGGCAGCTGGTCATATGTGTCTTATGAGGCAGGCAGCTGAAGGTGTAATAAAATAGTGATATATTATTCATTACTGTGGACAAAATAATGATATTTGTCCCTGGTTGGCCCACTCTGCTGAGGGCGCAGTGGGTCATGGTCAGTCCCCCAACCCTCCCCCAGCTGGACAGGATTTAGTGTCCAGCTCAAGGACACATCAGCAGAGGCTTCAACGCTCTAACCCTGCTGTCCTGTGTATGGACCTAGGGAACCAAATGAATAACATAACTCATGACAATTTGATACATAAATGCTCTCATGCAAAGAAGTAACTTGCCCTCTTTTGACATGCTGAGTCTTGCTTGTGAACTAGAATATGAGATTTGATAATTGGTTCAGCATGCACAGCAACACAGTCAATGTATTAAGAAGTTTCAAGTGAAGTTACATTTGCAAGATAAGAAAATAAAGATTATTTTACACAAAAGTTAGCTAAACTTGATTCCTTTATAATTTTATAAGTTTGGTCATCAGTGGACCTCTAAAATGAGAGCAGTTAAAAGGTACAGTGTATGGTTTTCTCAGGTGGCATATCACCTTCATGATGAAAAAGAAAATTAAAACCATACTTTGGAACATTCTTCATGGAGAAAAATATTTTATGCCTTGAATCTTAAACATAACTTTAACCTTAGGTTTATGGAGATACAGGTGCTCAGAGGAGACATGATTTTCTAAGTTTACAGTACAATCAACTCAACAAAAAATTATTAAAAAATATACTTTTATTTTAGTGTATTTTTGGTTAAAAAGTGACATGCTATAACTTAAATGTGCTTCAAGAATTTTGTTTGGCAATTTATCCAGACTTGGGTATGGCCCTTCAGCTTATTACCAAGATAAAATGTACCCCTGAAACCACTTTTCCTTAAGATATCTGAAGAACATGCCTTAAGAAATGTTCTGTCTGCAACAATCTTTATATCACGGGTAAAGTTATAAGGGTGAACCCAGAATGAAAATGCCCTGAATCTTAAAATAACAGTAAGCGTCTCGTGGCCGTGCAAAAGTACATCTAGATTGGCTCTATCCCAGTGAATTCTCCTGCTTATGTTTTGAAGCTGTTCCAGCCCACTAATACTGAGCCATGGAGGTACTGTTGGACCTTGAGCCATGCAGCTGTGGAATGTGGTCAGTGAGTGAAGCCTATTAGCACAAGACACTCACCAGTCACACACTGTCCATAACTCACTGGAAACATTCATACATCTAAGAAGGAACTTTAATCATAATACAAAATAAACTGAGGCTACACATCTACACCTGTCACGATAACAAATTTTGAAGCGTCATATATTGCAACAGAGAAATATCACAATAAACGATAATACTGAAACTAGCATGAATAAAGCAGGATAATAACAATTTATACAGAAACATTAAAAGGCATTCTGAGGTACAAAAATCTATAACAGAATGAACCATTAATTACTGATAGAAGTTACTCAATCAACACTCTGCAGCACAAATCTTATGTTATTACATTAAAAAATCCCCAAATCCCCCATTACTGCACAGAAATTGTACACACGATACATCTTGAGCCCCATAATGTATTGTTCCAGTTTTCATGCACTGAACTGTAAGTCAATATAGTAATTATTGTGACGGGCCTATATACAACATTTACATCATAACATAGCAAAGGATGCACTTTGTCCATGATATTGTTGGCTAAATGGGTCCTAATTGTCCTGTTATTGATGACTGAGTTACTAATTTCAGTAAAGTAAATTTTAAAATAAGAAAAATAAGGCCCTGTATGATTTTGGAATTTATTTTAAAGCATCTCTAAGGCAAGATACTATTGATACTTTTTGGAATATGCATTCTCCAACTTGTTAATGTCAGCGTAAACTATGTATGAATGTGGTGTGAGCGTGGAACCCCCTGTATTTAACTCATGGCAACTGATTAAAAAGTTTACACAATGCTACACTTTTCACCAGCAGCTTGCTAACTTGTGTGACCTGTTGCCTGTGGCAGTTTTCACTCAGGTGCCATTTACAAATAGGCCCATAGGCTATGTACACAGCTTTTTAACATTTTCCACATAACTACTGCAAAATTGTTTGTGTAGTAGCCTCTTCAAGTGAACTGAATGAACTACTTGAGTTAATTGTTGATTATTTCAATCGCATAAGTCAGTCCTGTGGTTCTTAAAAAAGTGACTCCCTGTTTTTCTGACCAGTTAACAGATCCCTATCTATGTGTCACCAGAAAGCCTTATACTAGTGACATATGAAAGAATCAAACTGTAAAGAGGTGCAAATACATTTTGTGACTTGATTGTGAAGTAGCTGAATGTGGCGTCTTGATGTGACTAGCGGTGCAGTGTGAGAAAGACTGTGGCCGTACACATGTGTGAACTGCGCAGTGCCCAAAGGTGCAGGCTGTTCTCAGTTTGGAGTTTGTGGAGGACCTTGAAGAAAAGAAACTGAGGAACAGACCATCCTCTTCCATAAACTCTGCTAGGAATAAACAGAACAGTGCAGTTCAATTTTGACTTGACTTTTACCAATGTTTAGAGAGTGCTGCTTTGTACACGTCGTATTTTGTGTGTTGTTTGATGAAGAGATAACTAAAGTAAGGTGTTCAAAATCTACAGAGGCGGTACTGAGTCACATCTACTTTATAGTTGTAAATGAGTAAAGGAAATTGAAGTGACAATATAACATCATCAATATTACTTGAGTAAAATTTGTTTTAAAAAAATTAAAAGGATTTTTTGATTATGTAGGAATGGTTAACGTGTAATTTTTTTGTACATTTTTATTTAAGTTCAACATTGTTTTATATTTTAATTGCTAGTCTAATGTTGGAATTATGTAATTTAATATTAAAAGTAACAAACTAAATATTTCCTAGTCAATGACTTTTATTCCAGGTAGGTACACTACATTCCTCCCCATTTTGTACACCCATGAATTATAACACTGAATTATAAAATCTTGTTGTTTTTCTTGGGGATATAAAATAATTTCTGTGGTTTATACACTTTCAATCTCCCATATACTTTGTTCTTCCTCATTTGTTTGCTTTGTAATCATAGACAATCACTAGAGCATAAAGACATCTTGTTCTCCCCAGCTCCACATTTGTACAGTGTATCTGTGTCTTGGGTCAGAGTGACTGCAGCTTCTCACACCTGCAGTCTCAGGCACTCCCTGTTCACCAGACTGCTTTACAACTGCACTCAATGGAACATGTGCCCCTGTTTTGTTCATGGCTTATTATAGACAATATCTGCCAATTTCCTGCTAATCCTAAGGTCATAGTGACAACAAAACTCTCAAGTGTATTAGAGAAAATGTGATTTCTTTGTGTTTTGGACTCATTTTGTAATAACATTTGGCATTGACTTTTAGCACACAGGATGCCTCCTCACATAATGTCATTTATTTGGGCTTGCACTTGCTTGACCCCATAGATATTATTGCTTTGTCTATGTTCCACAATATGGCATTAAAGATGGCATTATGAGGTTATCTTGAATTTATTTAGTTACAGTACAAGGGGCAGTCTCCGTGAAACTAGATATGCTTAATGCCATACTGCGGAACATTTCAGGCACAGCAGTTACAGATAACGGACAAGCGGGTAATGGACCATCCACCAGAAAGGCTACATAGTGCCCCTTTATGTAGGCTAAATAGCTGGAGAACCCTTGTAGCTGTTATTAATGTAATATTGTAAACATAAGTGCATAGAGACTTGTGTTATTTTTTAGTTTTCAGTTTCGTCTGTTCAACAAATACTTGGAGTGAGACGCAACATAAGAAACAAAGCCTGAGCTATTCCATTAGTAAACGCTAGATGGCACTGTTATCTCACACATGCTAGAATGAAATAGTTTACACTATACCCATAAACTTTACAACACCTATTACTGAACACATAAAATGGATCAAAACCATCAATTAAGTTTTAGATTTTAATATAAATACTACTCAGTGTGCAACCATTTTCCATTGTTTTTTTTATATATTTATGACACTATAAAGTCACAAATGCAGGAATAGAGGAGGCACTCACTGTGTAACTTTAGCTCATCATTAGTGTTTAATGCACTTCCATATAAACTCAACAGTTCCTTCCCTCAGTCAGGTCCCTGTTTACTGAATCACGGACATTTCCTTCCCAGTGCGTCTTGAATGGGTGGAGTTGAAGATAGTGGTTTCCTGCTTGAAGCTCAGAGTTTTTGAACCAGGTTTTTGGAGTTATTTTTGAGGATAGCCTTCATCCTATGTAGTCCAGCCTAGACAAAGCAAAGTCATCCTGTTTCATGACTGTATAACACACTGAATACACAAAACAAGACCTTTCTAGACTTTCTATACTACAGTAGGACACAAGTGACAAACAGTAACTAATTCTGGTGTTTCTGCTAATACAGTACAATTATTCATAAGCTATTGTTACTTCCAGTTCTGCAACTTTCATCATTCTTAACTAGGTGTATTTTTACTACTGCTATTACAGCCTAACTTTAGTTTTGAAACAGCAGAATAAAAGCACATATGTAGGTGTCAAACTTTGATCTTATATCCTAGTATTTAACTATTTTTAAAGATTCCAGCAGTTTTTCTCTCACAGCTGCTTCCTCCTGTTTTTCCTTTGATTCAGTCAACAAAAAGATGAATCCAGTCAGTAGCACAAAACTGTCAACACACAATCACACAGGAAAACATGTGTCTTTGTGGAGTGACTCAGTCTGCAAACACATGGTCATTGTCCAAATGGTCATTTCATGTATAACTAATATTAAAATTTGTCATGCAGAGCTCAAATAGTAACATCTATTGTTAATAATAAAGATAATAACATTTGGGTTCAGAGCAGCAATTAGCTGGGGCCTGACATGAATGCAAAGGCTGTCTGTGTGACAGGGAGCACCTGCAGGTCCAATGGGAGGCTGCAGCTGTGTCTCTGGCTCTGAGTCACTAAAGCTTTTTGAAACTACTTCCTCTCTCAGAGATGAGGTGCACGGAGAATAACATTATGACCACACCACATACATTTTAAGGACATTATTTTCATGTGATGACAATTTGCGGACTCTTATGCCGAACTCTGACTGCGTTACTGTTCGTATGTGTTATTTTAGCTGAAATTTAGACCTCTAGGAAACATGGTCTGCATACAAAACATGGGAAGGCCTTAATATAGTGCCCATATAGCTGCAGGGTACATAGTGGTCTGCATAGTGGTCTGTGTAGGAGACGCATTTAATGATGTGGCTATTCAATGCTTCACTATAATTTGATGATTTATACAAATTTATGTTATGTATTATATTATGCATTGTATGCTGCCTGAAATATCAATTCCCTTCCCGATAATAACGTATCTATCTTTCTGTCTGTCTGCCTATTATCCACTTCAATAAAATATGAGAAAATTGCTGGTATTTCACTTTCTTCAGACCCAATCAAAGATTTAAAATTTGAATTGTCGAATCGGTAGTATCAGGCAATATCCCTTGTTAGTTCAGCAAAACCTTTCATATGATAAGATGTATGATATGTCTAATTAGAAATGACATGTTATTACCTGCCCAACTGCTCCAACCACAGCTCAACTCCTGATGTTCAAAAATCAATAGGTCTGAGTGAGACACAGGTCAGTCAGGGTTTAAGTATTGAGGTGTGTATGTGAGGTCATGTGACACTGGTCCGGAACAGATTCACTGAAAACATAATGGCACAAACCTCTGATGGCAGGGTTAGTGTTACCAAGAACACACATCAGGACCCATAGGTCATCAGTGGCGCTTGGACATAGGTGCTGATAAATGGTCAGTGATAGAATTACTCACAGTCTGAGAGAGAGAGAAGCAGATGGAGGCAACAGCAGCTCAGGCTGGGAGGGCACAAGCAAGGCCTGGAGCCTAAAGAGAGAATTGTTTTTTGTTTGTTGAGACAGTATTTGTATATTTACACAGCACACATGTTTATTCTTATCTTCTCACGATATTATACTTGTAAAATAACCCCAGAGGTCCATAAGTGGAAAATTATTAGACCTACCAGGCAACAGTAGCAGTAGCTTATTGTTTTGCTGTCTCAACCTGTCCAATATGACATGTCTTGGTATGCTATGTAATGTTTGGAGAGAATCTGGGGGTGTTTTAGTAATGAGTAGGCTCTTTGTGTTTAAATGATGTTTTCATATGTCACTCACAGATTAAGGCTACAATAATTGGCAGTTGTTTTTTTTATTGAGAGGTTAATAACAGTGAATCCGGTGTCAGTAAAAGCACATTTTACTGCACATCCTTCAAAGTAAACCCCCAAAACAATGTTGTATACTAGGCTCCAGCCTGTAGCCTATGCATTCATTTATTTTTAAGGCCATAATGAAATCAGCTTCAGCAAATTCATTTAACTGAGGATGAAGCCAGTTCACAGTGTACCTTACTTTTATTGTGAAGTTTTGTATCCATCTTTGACTTGACAGGAGGAAACTTTCTCTGGAGCAGTGCGCTCCTCCTCTCCACGCTTCATCCTCCAGATCCACACCGGAGACACGACACTGTTCACGAAGCGAGCCGCTGCAGGACCGCCCTCCACTGGGACTCTCTTATGAGGAAAGTCGCGGGTTTTTGTTATCCAGTTTTTCCCAGATAATCCTTGGACTCTCTGCGTGGCCTCTCATCGGGATTAACAGCGCAAATAGAAAAAAAACAGGCATGGAGTGGCGGCGCTATTAAAAGTTGAATAGAGAGAGAAGAGGTGCCAATCTTAGTGGTTTCTCCAGATTTACCGCGACCCGAGCGAGCGCCCCTTACCCGCCTCGGAAGCATGGGCTGCGGCTTGAGGAAACTGGAAGACCCGGAGGACAGTAGCCCGGGGAAGATTTACTCCACTTTGAAAAGACCACAAGTGGAGACCAAAACGGACACTGTGTACGAGTATGTGTTGCTGGATTTTAGTCTAGAAGGTAAGATTTGGGAAGTTTTGTCAAGCTGACACTTTTTAGTATAGGTTTTCAGTAAGTAGCAGCCTATGTACTTGCTTGATGCCATAGGATGTCATGGGAAGTAGTCTAATCAATTCTTTTATACACACTATAGTTGCAATCAGTTTAGATTAACTTAAGAAATGAATAAAACATCCCTAATGTTTAGTATTGTAGCATCTTATCCTATGGAGTGTGCCTATTTCAACACTCATAGTATTGCAGTACTGTCTTTTTGTCTTTTATTTGTGCTTAATTGCTGTGAAGGATCTAAATTATAGCCTAGAAGGTAAGATTTGGGAAGTTTTGTTGAGCTGACACTTTTTAGCATAGGTTTTCAATAAGAAGCAGCCTATGCATATGCTTGATGCCATGCTTTTGGTTATAGGCTACTTTGTCGTTTAGGAAGTAGCCTAGTCTAATCATTTTTTATACACTATAGTTAGAATAACTTAGTAAATTAATAAAAACATCCCAAATGTTTAGTATTGTTGCAGCCTATCCTGTGGAGTGTGCCTGTTTCAACACTAATAGTATTGCAGTATTGTCTATCTATTTGTGCTTAACTGCTGTGAAGAATCCAAATTATTGTTAGTGATTCAGAAGACTTACAGTAGCTTATATACTGTAGACTAGAGGCTTTTCATTGAGATACACTTCTTAGGAGTCTTTATTTTTCCCATAGGGGCTTTTGTACCAGTGGTCCTATGCTGGTTTGAGCGTCACTACACAGCCAGAGCCAGACAAAGTGCTCTTTTGTTATATTCATACTATCACCACACTCCACTCACAACATAGCAGGAGCATTACACACTGTAGTAGTATCTTAATTTTCCTAGCAACAGGCCTGTCATCTCAGCCTATCTAAAATTAGGTCACATGAGGTTTTCTCTAACAAGTTATTCTCTTCATTTGACAGACCGAGCAAACATAAAACATTTTCAAAGTTACATATGGCTAAACCAGACATACATCCACCTAATAATTACAGTTTTCACCTGAATGTGTGATAATCTTTTGTAGCAGATATTAGAGATTTTCAGATTTTTTCTATAATCCGTTATCTGGTCCTGGACTGCATGGCTATTTTGACTGTGACCTATTTGGAAGGAAATGGTGATTAAGTTTTGAATGGGAGCCTGGCATGTAAACAGCAGGCTACCACTATAATGAATCATGGGGAAAGTGCAGCTCTCCAAAATGAGGGGAGGGGGTCTGTTCCTGTAGAGTATTAAGCAGTCAGTAATGGTGAATGGAACAAGCTGTCACTTCAAAGGCAGCCCATAATGTGTGCTCATTTTCTCTTAAAATGCTGTAGTCTATTGTAGTTCTTTATGTCCGTTATTACTTACACAAAATGGCATTCAATGTATGGTACATAATAACCAATATGGAATGAAGTGAATCTTAAACACATTTTTCATTATAAATAAATTATAGTGATTTGTGTCAAGTAGGGCATCTTGATTACAGATTTTACATTTTTTTTATCTTATTCAGTTAAGTTAGTTAGTAAGGTAGCTGTTTCGCCAAGGAACCATATATCTTAAATATAGTTGAATGTACATTTTGAGAATGTCCAATTGAGTAGTTAAGGGTTGATTCTTGCAAACAAAATGGAAAGCTTGGTCTCATATTGTATTGCAACTCAAACTTTTGTATTGTAGGAGGCAAAAACACAGATTTCTTAATTCAATTTCCATAATTATCACCCTTCCTTAATTAAAAATGTGTAAACAGGCTTCTCTCTGAATGTGTGAAGCTCTCACGTTGGCACAGAGCTGAAGATAAACCCAGTGGGTCTGTGGTTGTCATGTGCAGTCTGGTGACAGCTCCAAAAACAGAATATGCTAAACATTAAACAGGGACATGTTTAATGTTTAGATATTTTCTGATCTCTGTTATAATGTTGTTTCCTCATCAAAAACATACCTGGAATTGTTTTTTGTTTCATTCACACATGTTTAACGCACAAACCCTGCATATTTAGACTGAGTTCTTCTCTGAAATGGAAAACACTGTGTTTTTAAACTCCATACACCGTCACTAGAATCATTTGGATAATTTCAGCCCTGGATTTGCCAACCTCTACAGAACTGAAGGTAAAAGGTAGCTGTTAACTTGAAAACTACTGCTTCGTGACATCACAAGGTGGAACAGAGCATTTTGAGGTTTGGAGATGTAGACAGACTAATGATAAAGAGTTACTCAAACATGTGTGAATGAAACAATGACAAACAACATGTTTTTGATGAGGTAACATTATAATATGGCTTAAAGCTCATAAGAGTCAATTTTGTGTAATATAGGACCCTTAAGAAATATAATTGATTGTAATTCTATTTAATTTTGTCCAGTGAAATGCTTTTTATACACAATTTAATTGAAGATAAACATTACAGACTTTTAATCATTGCCATTTAAAGAACAACTTTCAAATCTGAACTCTGCTCAGTAACTATTTCTACAATTTCTATCCTATTTCATGCATTTCTTAAACCATTAGATAACTGTGTTCAGAAAAGGTATTAGTGCACACTTTTATTAGCACTTCCTAGCATGTGCCAACCTGTCTGCTCGCATAACGTGGCTGAAGTTGCACGTTTTGGTGAGCTCTCTTTGCAGGGCTGGATGCAGACGTAGTTTATTCAGAGGGCGGCTCCACAGCTCCAGGGCTCGTGTGTTTTTGAGCATTAATAGCCACATGTTCCAGCACGCCCCCCTAAGCACCTGAAGGACAGCTGTCTACAGTAAAGTGTGCTAAGAATCTGTGTTACATAATGATTTTAGGTTAGGGTATTTGGCATTGATGATATGTTTTTAGAGCTCTAGTCACTATTTTTTTCCACTCAATTTGCACATATTCGTGTCTTACCAGTTTTCACACGTTCTCTCTGTGCAAAGGTGTTACATGTGACAGACAGTCAAGCATCGCACCCTGGAAATAGCAGGTGGTTCTGGATGACTGGTTGGTTCTGTTAGTGATTCAGTGCATATGAAACTGTATATTTTATTTAAGGTGCATCTGCGGAGAGGCGACCCCACTCACAGTCAGAATGCCCATTTTGCTATGTACTTTTGAGCAATAAAATTACATGTAATTGAATAAAAGTAAGGTAGTTCTGTTTATTCTCAAATTGTGGAACATTCTAAGCAGAGGAATGACATATCCATAGAAACAAACAAGCACTTAATATTACTAACCACTAACTAATAAGAAGTTAGTATTATTTTTTATTTTTTTTGTGGGGCTGAAGGCTGCTCTGGAGTTTGGTCACAGACTTGTAGCAGAGACAATAGACTGAATGTCTCCCCCTACTCTTAGCCCCTTTTCTTCATTGCTCACTGCCCTGTCTGTCTGTCTGTCTATCTGTCTATACCTACCTACCCACCTACCCATCCATCTATCAGGGGTGTAACGATAACCAAGTGTCCTGATACAATATTGTCACGGTACGATATTTATTGAGATATCCTGGAAAAGCTCACGATATGGTGGCGAGGCTCATGATTAGGGATGTAACAATATCCAAATCTCTCGGTACGATATTTTCATGATATACAAATCAGGGTACGATATTTATTGCGATACTTTGTGGAGGCTGACAAAACTGTTAATTGCTACTTTTTCCTCTCAAAATGTTTTGACAAGATTTAATCCAAAGAACTAAGACTTAAAAGTGCTTAGAACTGTTATTTCTTCTTATAGTCTACACTGGAATGGAGCAAAGGATCATGGTCTATGTAGTTCCCTCTGTCTTTTTTAGCTATTGCTGTGCCATAACTCTTAATTTAAGCAAAGAGACATCTAATTCGATATATTGTGATGATCCACGATATTAGTGTGAGAACTTTGACGATACTATATCACAATATTTCAGTTATTGTTACATCCCTACTATGTATCTATCTGAGCAAAGCCAGGCCTAACTTGGTTAAATAAAGGATAATAAATGGATACATTTATCAAGTATTATGTAAAATGAATGAATACCATAAAATATGATAGAATATTAAGAAAAAGTTTACATTGATTTGTTGACATTTTGTTCTGTCTGGTTTGCCTTGTTAGCATCCCTTTATTATGACAAGCCTACTTCATGCCTATATCTGGTGTTCCACAAAATCTTTATAGTATAATATTATCTTTATTACCTAATACAGTCTCATTATTTTTAAACAAAATAACAAAACTACTTTTCCTGTCTTGGGGTACTGCTGTAGATAACTCAGCCAGCCAAGTTTTAGTAATAGCCATAACTGTTGAACCATAGTCTGAATGGAGTGTGTACTTGTGTCCCCCTTACCTACTTTTCTCATCTTCCTCTTGAAATGATGAAACATTTCTAGGACATGTGCTCTACTCCTGCCCTCTCCTCTTCCTCTTGTGTGTGCCTCTCCTCTTCCTCACATGCCCTGGTTTCACTCCACAATTCTTCTGTCTGGAGACTGGTCCTGGAGCCGTGGGCAGGACATCAAAGTGCTCATAGATCATACTTAAACACAGAGAATGTACTGTTGATATAGGTGGTCATTGGAAAGCTTTTAAGTTTATTTAATTGCATAAGGATCATATTACAATAGCATACACTAGAAAAGATAGCATTAGCAATCACAGTATTCACTATATAGTACTTTTAACAATACATAATCTAGTAAAGAAAAAATGTAGTCTACTCAGATCTTTATTGTTGGAAATGTGTTGCATAAAGCTGCCAAAAAATGATAGTGTAAATCAGTATTTGTAAAATGGTAATAATAAAAACAATGAATATTCTGAGCTCAAAATTGTCTGAAATAAAATGATCAATCCACTGAAATTACTGAACATTTGAGAGCACTTGAGAGCACAGAGAATAGATGACAGAAATAGACATAACATTTAGTGCAGTGATCCATAAATTACTGGGTGAACTACGGGTTAATCAAACTGCTTTATCAAAAATCCAGTAAAATACAATTTAGTAATATTTGCGTACAATATCTTTCATTGTTATGATTATTATCTTGCATGAATGAAATGCTCTATAATCTCCGGTAATCTCTGAAACCTGTGGCCTTTGATGGATTATTCTAGATTACGTTTTTATTCGTTTCAGAGAGTTTGTGTGTATCTATCTCAAGTAACAATTTTATGAGTGCTTATTTTGAACAAATACATGACAATTACCTAGAATGACCACATTTAGGGAATTAAACACCCCCTCACTAATCACATTAAGTCTAATTTACCCTGTGTAGCTCCTTTTATTAACGTCATCAAAATATTTAACAATTCCTAAACACGTTTTGGCCTGGTTCCATGTTGCCAGGCACTATTTGACCACTTTCACACCTTCTTACGCACTCCCATTCACTTCCAGTCCCATAAAACTTTGTCTTGTAAACCTAGTCTACCCCTAAATCCCCCTTGACCATTTTTTTCTACTTCTGTCACTTCTCCCTGTGTGCCCTGCAGTTGTTGCCCCCTGGAAACCCCACCAGCCCACATGCACCTATCAACACTCTTCATTTGCCCTCCTCCCTCTGTGCTTTTTTTCTCCCATAGAGGCCCCTTCATGGGACGACTGGCAGCAGGATGGAGGATAAGAGGAGGGGGTCGGGTTCAGGGGTGTGAAGACTCCAAAACATGGGAGGGGAAGAGCTGGAGACTCAACAAAAGCCCTGGTTAAATGTCTGACAGCACAGTTCTCTTGGGAGACATTAGGCGTTCTATGGATGCTGATGTCTTCAAAGAATGCATTGCTTTGTCTTGTGCAGGAGCCAATGTTTTTGGGTTTTGAGGAAAACACAAAATATGTAAAAGTTTGGATTCATTGATTTAAACTTTTATATTTGTCAGTGTAGATGTGAATCCACTTGTTATAAAGACAACAAAATTTGGAAATAAACTAGCCGTTGTAATTCTCTGATATACAGTGATACATACTGTGCACTGCAAATTACCCCTTACAGTGCCTATGACAGGTTAGACTACACATTTGACTAAAACACAGTTAAGATCATTGTATTTAAGATTTTTGTAAAAAAAAAAAAAAAAAAATATTCACACTCGTTTTCCCACTTTGGCCATTTTTTAGGTCTACAGTTTTACTTCCAGCTTGGAAATTGTGACATCACACTAAGGAATGATATAACTGTTACCTAGCAAAACCCCTCAAACACACTGAATTATTATCTGACAAATGTAAGAAAACAACTTCATTTTGTTGAAATGATGTTTAAACTTTAAAGTAAAATGTGTTTCTTTTGTAAATTGTGCCGAACTTTTGGAGAGAATTCTCCCTAATGTGATGTCAACAGTATGTTTTAGAAATCTCTACTTCCTGTAATTTTCAACATATTTTTCAGCTTTTCTTCACAATTAGCTTCTTGATTGGTGTAAAACCATAATTTATATTTACAATAATTAGAATTCCACCTAATTAAATCAAAATTAGACAATCATAAAAACCTGTCATACGCACTTAAAGTCATTTTCTTGCATTCAAAAGTACACCATATTATCCTTTTGTAGTGTACAATCTAAACTCACCCTAGTGTTAGGAGTGAGGTTCATAGCCACAGGAATGCTATAAACTACAGCTATTTGCCCTGCCTTGGCTTTACAAGTTTTACTGAGGATCTGGGGGTTTTTGGCCTCGTAATGGACCCAGCCAGACAGCCCATTGAAAAGCGGTCAGTCATCTCAGCTGTGCACCCCGATCTGTGCGACGCGTATTCGTGAGAGAGTGTGGGGGGTTGAGCCAGGGAGGAATGCTCTTTCTTTCTCTCATTCACACATTACCTCATCACTGGCCCCCCACCCCAGTTTGCTCCCTATGCTATAGATTCTAAAAGTTTAAATGTCCTATATTATGCAAAATTTACTCTTGTGATCTTTAAACTGTGTTATAATGTTGTTATCACCTCAAAAACATACCCGGAATTGTTTTTTGTTTCATTCACACATTAGAGTAATCCTTTACTATTAGTCTGTCTTCATCTCTGAAGCTCAAAATGCTCTGTTCCACCTTGTGATGTCATGAAGTGGTAGCTTTCAACAGCTCCATTTACATTTAGTTCAGTAGAGATTAGAAATTCCAAGTCTGAAATTATCTAAATGACTCTAGTGAAGTGAAGGTGTATGGAGTTTAAAAACACAGTAGAACACTTCTGTATTATGACATAACATCACAAGGTGGAACAGAGTGTTTTCCATGAGAGGAAACCTCTGCCTAAATATGCAGGGTTTGTGTTTTAAACATGTGTGAATGAAGCAAAACACAACTTCGGGCATGCTTGTGATGTGGAAACAACATTATAACAGAGATCAGAAAACAGCGTAATACGAGCCCTTTAAAATTTGGTGCGTTTGTGAATGTAAGATGTGTTGAGAGTTTTAAAGTGGGGCACAAATTTCCAAACCTCTCCGTGAACAGCCAGTCTTTGTGGACACAGGAAGTACGGTGATGGTCACAAGGATTTCCAGCCAAGGCCAGTGAGGAAAACAACACAGCAGTCTAAACACGCACAAACAACTTTTTCCACCCACTGCATTCTAAATACAAAGTGGAAGTAAAGTAATAGCAGTAGGAAATACTTTTGTAGTCTGGGTGTCTGAAGGGACTTATGAATGGCCTTTATTACATCAAGAATCTGGAAAATTATTTTTAGACCCCCATAGGACTTTTTATAGTAGAAGAAGCAGCCATTGCAAGAGGAAAGTAGAGCAGTGGGGCGACAGTTATTAACTGAAAACCTGAATAAGACACTTTTAGGTTAAGTACAAAATGTGGAATGATAAAAATGTGTGTGTATATAGATATAGATATAGATAGATATATAGATAGATATATACTGGCACAAACTCAAATCTTCACTTTCTCAAGTATAGAAGAGCAAATTATCACTTTATTCAGAGATGTGCACAATTAATTCTATACCATTGTCCATCTTATTCACTTTTTATGACAAGTAGACAATATAAAAATGATTTGTAGTTCTATAATAGTTTGAGTTCATGTTACATTTGCTGACCTGACTCTGTTTCTGGGACCAACAAACCACACCAGGCCTGTACTCCTCCGTTGCCACATCACAAAAACATCTGGAGTCTAAAAATATGTCTTAAACTTTATGCCAAATGTAGAAACTATCTTGGTGCTTCTTTATGATTCAAATGCCTATATTCCTACTTATTTGATTTACTATGATTGTGTAGGCAAACCCAGGTCTCTAGAAACCAGTTAGTAGTAATGTTGTCATGATATTTAAATGGAAAGCTTAAATTTTTAAACTTATGAAAATCTTCATACTCAAAACCAATTTCTTTATCTTTTTTAGATATGAATGTATTTTTCAGCCCAAAATGACACTTCCTTTAATGTTACCATGTGTTCCACAACTTCTCTGGAAAGGGCCAGGTTTCCTTTTTGTAATATTATAATTCACTCATACTATAGTTTCACTCTATAAGGTAATGCTTTGAGATGGGAATAGTAATTTTCCAGTTAAATTGTACCGTGATATGCATTTTAAAAAATGACTAAGATCACTGTCACCATTTTGCATTCTTGTGTGGCAGAACTGATGTGTTGGAGCCAGGGGTCAGGGCTGTTAAAGCCATTTCACACAGGAGGAAAAAGAAACATGCTAAGATTATGATGTGTAAAAAACTGTCTTTGGTCTTTATGAGCTTGTGAACAGCACATGTCTCAGGCCTTGTTCACACTAACAAGGCAACAATTTCCTTTTACTCACTTTCCTTCTGTATTTTTTACAATCTTGTTTGTTAACGTACTGGTGCCCATCCAGAGATCTGTTTCTGTTCAACTGTTCCCTTTTTGTCAGCTAGGGGTCAGTCCTAGTTTAGAATAGTTTAGAATCACTGGGAGATTTGAAAGAAGTTACTATTTTAAAAGTGCTAACATGTGCATAATACATGTGTTTGAATAACTGTAATGTGTTCTGTTTTCCAAATTTTTAAGCCCAACGTGTAACATTTTAGTCAAAATATAGACTAAAAACTTAAAATCATATATGTTCATTATGGATGTTTTCATTGTAACAAAAAAACTTGAAAAAAGTGCAAGCCTACTGACAGTAATGCATCTCCACAAACTTGACTCAAACATGGCCTCCGTATGCTTGTCTCCAGGGAAATGTTCCTTTGTCTATAATATTTAACAGGAAATTTAACAAGACATAAAGGGTACTTATCCATCTCTGTGGAGAATGTTCCAAAGTATGGCTTGAACTTTCTATTTCTATGGAGTCATGGAGCAACGTGTGTGCTGCCACCAAAAAGTTGTTTCTTTAAGTTATGGACAATGAGTAGTATAACACTACTCAGACCCACAGGAATGCAATAACAGTTCAAATCCATGAGATAATCATTTTGTTGGTTCTTTGTTCCAGGTAGTCGTCCCACAGTGCAGTATGTGGCCTCCTTGTCCGAGCTGCCCCAGGCTCTGCAGCCATACTACACACAAGGCTACATCCTGACAGCTCTGCACCCCATCATCCTGTCTGTGGGGCGAACACGCTCACTGCCTTTTAGCCTGCTGTACCGTGCTATTCTGGCCCGTCCCAGACCAAGGTACATTAATAATTACACTTTTAATGTTTTAAGGGTCAAGTGCATGATTGCACTATTTCAAATTGTTATTATATTTGTTTGTAATACTATATTTGTTTGTAATACTATATTTATACTATATAACTATATTTAATGTATAACTTTTATATCCAGTTGATTTTACTCACTTTGAGCAGTTCTTCAAATATTCTAGCCTCTGAACCTATAATGTTGTGACTCGAGGCTCTGCTGCCTCCACACTTGCCTCCACACTTGCCTCCACACTTGCCGTCCCACTGTGCGTGCTCATTTACTATGATACTGTCTAGTAAATGAATAAATGATACATGAAGAGAGCTGCATATTTAATGGGAAACCATTGTAGGAGGTCAGACTGGTGTGACAGGAGGAGAAATGGGGACTGGTTTTAACTGTATCTGGGTTCCTATTGGGTGAGGCCACCTGACAACAAGGGTTTTCCCTCAGCCAATAGGGTTTAACTGTGGCATATTAGTGGAAGTAATATGATTTTGATTCGGTTTGTAGGGTACTGCATGTACTAGAGTTGAGTTAAAGCATCCTATTGCAATTTTTCAGACAAGATTAAGTGTATTATTTAATATTAATACATCATGATTCAGTTTTCTTAAGTGCAAAATTACCTAGGGGACAAGAGGCTCTTGAAATTGTACACATACTGTACATATATTTTATACTGGGCAGAACATATTACCCATAGAACTGCTGCCTTTCCAATTCATATATGGTGACCATTGAAAATTATTATTATGATAGTTTTCATTGTGGTTCAGCTTAGGCACAATACTGATAATAGACGACAGGGTTAGGTCAATATTACATCTGGTTGTTGACTGTGTAAAAATAGTACTCTGATTCATAAGGTGTTGTCACTATAGATCACTCAAATCATTGTTTACCGGTTGTGTGTAATTGCTTAGACAGTGTCTTATGGTCATCTCCTGCCGGGTTAATTAATGATTCATCGGTTTGTGTCTGCTGTTAAGTGGCAATAACAACTGAACTATGAACCTGCCAGCTGGACCTGTCATATTAACAGTGGAGTACAAAGAGGATCTTGTCCATCACTATTCCACAGTTTAAAGATGAGTTATTTTGTGTTTGCAGTAAACAGACAGCAGCTATGTGCCACAGTGTTCCAGTGCTGAGGGTGGAGGAGTGGCCTTTACCTGGAGACTCACTGACTGGAGACACAGTCCGAGCTCTCATTGACAGGGTTAGTAGTACAGAGAATGACAATGGAAAACATATTAATTTGTATTAATTATTAATTATCTGAGCAAAAATGTCACAATTGTTAACAATTCATTCAATTAAAGCTTCAAATTCTTAGCCCCTGTGTGATCTGATAGATCAGATGAAGTCAATTAATAATATTTCAAAAATATGAAGAAATTAAACTGGTGTTAGCACTGTTATCATTTTATGAATAGTTATTCTGCATATATTTCTGCAGCCTACTTCCAAAGTAATAATGACCAAGCACTGATTATTTTGGACCTCTCTACAGGTGAACAGCAGTGCTCGTGGGGGCGTTCGATTCGTTGGCTCGGTCCTACAGCAGGTGAGTGGGGTCAGTAATGGTCGGGTACACAGTCCAAAAAGAGGCTGCCGCTCCCCTCCTCGCACCCCTCCTCGCACTCCACCTGGAGAAAGAGAACTGGAAGAACATACCTATAGTCCAGGTACTACTTTTACTACTATTATGACTCTGTTTTTTACAAGCTCATAGATGTGTCATAATTCTTTTCATTGTTTTCTTTGACTTGGTGAAGACTTGCGGTTGCTGGTCTTCTTCCACTCCTGGGCCCCTGGCTGTGCTCCGCTGGACTCCCTCGGGTGTCAGTATCATCAGGGAGCTCTGTCAATGCGGGTCTCTAGAAAGGGTCAGGTGGTCAGCGCCCTGGAAGCTGATTGGCTGGAACTGACAGCAGCCTACTACCGCAAAGGCTGGTCATTGGTGGACTCTTTTGTCTACTGGGACACGCCTAAAGGTAAGTTTGATCTCAGGTTTGACTTGGAGTAGTAGTATGTGAACTTTGGAAGTTTTAAGTCAAAGTTAATTGATTTTGTTTTGTGTGTTTTTAGACCCCACAAAAATAATATTGTACATCTCAAGAGCCTGTGTTCTTATTAGTAGTTGAGAAAAGATGTGATTGCAATTCTAGCAACAAGGGTGCAATAGCTAATTTACTGGTACATATTACATGGAAGGGACTGTGTTAAATCTCTGGTAAACAATTTTTGTATTCTGCACTTTGGAAGATGGAAAAGAAAAATCTAAAGAAAACCATGTGTATATATTTATATTATTGTAATCTTGTATACAAAACTGTTCCCTGCTTCCACTCTTTCCTCATATCTATATTTGGAGATGTGTAATTGACATTGGAAGCTTTACTTCCTGTTCCCCTCAGAGGAAGAGCAGAAATCCAAATCTGTAAACATCTAGTCTAGAATTAGAAATAATAAAAATAGATTATTATTAGGCACTCCACAGCCTGCCTAATTTTTCTAAACTAGGTCTATTACTTCATTCCCCCACCTGTTATACTTATACATTGAGAAATACACTGCTCATTATTCACTTCAATATCACTTTAGGAGAGCCTGTGCCCAGATCTCTGGAGGGGCTGTTTGTGTATGAAGAGCGAAGCACAGCGCCCCCTGCCAACGACACTATAGTGGTGGAGCAATGGACAGTTATAGAGGTCTCTCTTATTCTCTTATGCAGTAATACAAATTTTTGGAAATGTTTTGCCTTTTCTAAGATGAATCCAAATGTATACTATTTATTTTACTGTGCATATTTTGTTTTTCTACAGGGTTCAAACGTAAAGACTGATTATGGTCCACTCCTCCACACACTGGCTGAGTTTGGCTGGCTTCTTACATGTGTGCTGCCCACACCCATCATCAGACATGACAGGTACTTACCTGTAATGCACATAACAGAAAAATACAAAACTTTTTTTTATCTGTGTATTTGACCAATACTGTGTTTTGTTTGAAACTGAAGTGATGGGAACCTGGCCACCAAGCAGGTTGTGTTTCTACAAAGACCAGTGAGAGGTCAACCTGCACCACAACAGAGGAACAAGGTGAGTACACCAAGAGCTAACGAACAATTGGTCTCAACATTTAGAGGCAGTTTGTTTTATTGGTGATATCTCAGGAAAGACATGTCAAACTAGTGAGTTTGCATAAATCTGTATATTGTTTCATTTTAGTGCCCCGAGTTCATTATTAATGAAAATACATGGGCTCTTATGATCATAATAAATTAGCCTGTCAAACCTGTGTGTTCACAGTCCCTGTCTGTACACAGTGAAGTCTCCAGCCGCTCAGTAAGCAGGTCTGTAAGCAGCCCGGTCTCCCCACAGGAGCTGTCTCCTATAGCAGGAGGTATCGGGGGCTTCCCAGTGTTTGGTGGAGGCTATCCCAGCTCCCTGTCCCACCTGGAGGAGGGCGGCTTTGAACCCGACGAGGGCAAGGCCGAGGTCACCTGTATGTGAGCTGTGCTGCAGACAACACTTCCGTCCAGACATTTACATGAGGAGTTATTTTTTTGGGGACTACAGATTAACCAAGGAAAAGGATGTGGACACAGCGGAAGAGGCCTCTCTTCCTGATTGGACAGTGCTATCAATAGACTGTTTAGTTTCCATCAAGTTCATTACCTTTTGATTCAAGCACTTTTATTTCATAAAGCCATAATAAGGATGATTGCCTAAAAGAACTGAAAAAGGCTCCTGTTCATGTGCTGACAATAACAGTATTATGTTTTGGACTGTTACAAAGATGCATTAAAACACTGGTGATTGACAGTGGTGCAACTATCATAAATAAGGTTAATGGTTTAAAGGTTTCTTTGTGACAGATTTTAATAGTTCCTTCACAATTTTGGTACGGTTAGTATTTAGACAATAAGCACATCTGGATGACCCATAACATTTTACTGCTTTTATTTTATTGAATGGTTAGAACTGTTTTTTTCAAGTATCAAAACTTTCATTTGATTGTATAGCAAATGGTACTAACTTAGTGTTACTCATCACATACATTTTGTTAAAGAAACAGTTGATATTGAAGCTTGTTGTACATATTGTAAAATAGACTATTCTATCACTGGGAGTTTCAGTTCTCACAATTATTGAGATTTAGAACTATTATTTAAGGTGTCAGCACTAGTGTTTTCACATATTAAGTTAGTGTTTCTAATATTAATGTTTACATTGTACAGTGTTTGTGATGCTCCATGGGAAGGCTGTATATTTCATTCAGTTATGCTTTTTATATTAATATGAATGCCATTTTGTTGTAACTCAAGTAAAAAGCTTGTAAAAATGAAAATGATTTGATTCGTAAAAACATGTGAATAATAGGTCTTTTTTTATTAACAGACATCATGAAAATGTCAACAGTAACAAAATTTTTAGTTTATTAAAAAAACAGTGGGTTGGATTGACAAGACTCCTCCCACAAAATAACTTAATGAGGGAGAGGGTAAGAGATGGGAGGTTGTGCTCCAGAACTTCAGTGTAGCCAATATTCCATCCTTTCTTGTGTTTTTTTTTTAACATTGAAAACAATAAAACTGGCCTCGAGCAGCACAGTTTCTGCTTGTAAAGCTCATATAACAATTGCTAATCCATATAGGCAAAGAGGTACTGGGCACGTTTTACACTAAAATAGGGGCGTGTCACAAAGCAGGATCAGAGTTGGCAAAGAAGTTTTCCTAAATACTCTGTCAGAGCCCAAAGAGGGAGATTATCTGGTTGCTATTACATGTACAAAGCTAGAGATTAGATTTCTTTGTTCACTAACACACAAACCACACCTACATTGTGTTTAAGCATAATTAAGTCAGCAGGCTAATTTAGTGATCCATAACATGGGACATCCCCAAACAGGATGAGGCAACACAAGCAAATATAGAACAGAAGCGGACACAAAAAGTGAAGCACCATCAGAAAATATGATGTGAAAAAGAGATAAAGGCAGGAATATTTACAAAGGGAGGCTGTCAGTGCGCCTTTGTCATCAATACAGGTCACCATGATTACATAAAATTTGCAAATCCAGCTGCTCAAAAGATTCAACAAAAAGGTTCCCTAAATAAGTGGTGAGAGCGGGTCTTTATTCAGAAACAGCTGTGGCCCCCTGGTGGAAGAATTACAGCATGAGTCTGAACAGCAATTGTTAATGCTAATGAAAGTCTGTCAACTATGTAGACCTGGTTTAGTCCTATCCTACAACCGTACCTTCAGACAGACACGGGGGATTAAGGAAGAGGAGGCCAACAGACAGTGATGCTAGACAAGAGCCTAAATACACTGTAGTGTGTGTGTCCAGTATGAGTGAGTATGTGTGTCTTAGCCGGTCAACCATCACCTTATAAATTGTGTTTACATATTTCTCTTTTTATGGCAGCTGCTGTATCTTTAGGCTTCACTCTCCCCTGCTGACGAGGTGTTCTGAACTTCCTCCTCCAGAATGGGCACGATCAGGTTGTCCTTGGACATCAGATTGTACTTCATTACGAAGCGTGTAAACCGGTGACACAGGAACGTTTCATTCTGTACAGACACAACAAACTATGAAAAAAATATTCTGGCAGTCTGTAGTTCACTTTTGTTTTGGGAGTACAGGAAAGCGTGTTGATAGAAGTGCTTCTCAATAAGTAACCCACCTCATACTTGTCAAATATCTGGCGATGATGGAAGTAGGCATGAGAGAATATCCTATATATGCGACGACACACAGAGCCTAGTTTGGCCACTGATGATTCCTTGATGCTCACCCTTAGAAGATTAAAATCTTAATATTAACTGTACAAAAAATGTATAATATGCTGATTATTAATAATAACCAACCTGCTAGGAAAGTATTTGTTGCTATTAAGAAGGCAGGCAGCTCCGTCCAGCGTGTGCCTGGTGTAGTCAATGGCAGAGCACTGCAAGTTCAACAGAAAGTAAAGTTATCAAAACAGTACGCACAAAATGTATTCATAATAGGAGGGCAATGTTTCCATTACCTCTTTGGGTGTCTTATGAGCAGCACATAAAAAGATCCACTGTTCTGTGGCTGTCATTTGGGTGCAGGTGTCAGGATGGCACTCACTCTGACAAAAAACCATGAAACACAAAACATATAATTTTGCATAAAACATTAAAGCATTCTATATCTATTTTAAAGTAGATCTGTTCAGCAGAATATTGGATGTTTACTCATTTCTTCAGTTTATTTTATACAAATAAAAATGCACGATAATCATATTACATACCTGCAGTTTGACAGCTAACCCATTAAGCTCCAGACAGAACTGCCTGTGTGTTAGAGAAAACAGTTAAAATCAGCATGAGCGTATTGCTGAAGCGAACATGTAATCATTACCTGAGGTGCTCATATTTCCATACACCCTCATCTTGACCCTCTGGAGGTTCTAGGATTTTGTCAATATTTGAACAATCTGACCGAATGTTTTGCTGTATATACTGTAAAGAAAAAGAAAACAAAGTATTCACCAATTATAAAAGTAACACTATAAAAACAAACAATGTATACAAAGCAAAATATTATTATTATGAAGAGGGGCCTTAAGTAAGACAGTAAACCTAGTATGAAATCTTCATATAAGTGATCCATTTGTTCAATAAGAATGTATATGCTATAACTCTTGTCAGATGAACTAGGCATTAGTGTCCTATACTGTCCAAGAGCAGGTTGCATGTGTGACAGTTGCCTTCCCACACACACGGTGTCCACACACCTGTTGAACAGCGAGGGTGCTGTCCATCTCCTCGAATGATTCATCCGGCCAGTTGTAGAAATCCTACACAAGGGAGGACATTTTAGTCTATATTAAAACAGGGTGTAGCTGACATTTTAACAGAGCTTCATAACCAAAATAACAAGCAGTGCCGTTTCAGCCAATAAAACTCAGGCGAAAGTGGTGGTTCAGACAATAAGTAATGAGAACGTGTATACGATTTCAAGACTGAAACTAGTGACGCTAACTTCTTTACAGCGATTCAACCCAGTTAATACACAAATATTTGTATAGACATTGCTACGTTTAACATTAGCTAGCAGTAACAGTTAGCTTGAAACCCGATCATCAGCTGAACAGCTAAAATGCAAAGCGATGTAGATTACCAGACTGGTCTCTGCTTTCTTACACCTATTACACATCAATAAAACGCGTAAGCTTAAATTTTTGAATTAAACTAGCAGATTTGTTTAGTAACAATACTCCGGGAAGTGGAAAACGGGGCTAGCTAATGTTAGCCTGTTGCCTATTTCCAGGTCGGGCCTTCCAGTGTGTAGTGTGTTGAGGAGATACAAATTATATACTTGATAATCAAATACATGGCCATTAATACGGCTACAGTAGATGTATAATATAACACATTTCTGTGTCCATTTGGTTTGAAAGATGTACCTTTGCCTTGGTTCCAGGCCGATTCCTCCTGAGAACTGCAGTGCCCTCCGCCATGACCATCGCGACAGAATACCCGGATGTTCGCCCGCTCTGCGTTGTAGCGACGCTCTCCGACGTCAGCTGCTCGGACCGTCTGCTCCTTTTTGTCTACACTTTTACCATTATAAACCATGAAATTTAAAGAAGCACCATTTTTATACGCTCTGTGTCATGGGTGTTAATGGGATAATAGTTTGAGCCCTCACCAATAACTAAATTTCTATATTATTTTTAGGCCTATTTATTTTGCATCCTAAAAGCACTGTTTGAATCTGAATTCTGTTGTTTACAATTTAGTCCAGACGTGGTAAACCCTTGATTAGACAGATTAACATAGATAAGTTCTTTTATTAAGCTCACCCGAGATTACCTCAAAGTGTTAGACAGGCTGGTAGTAACTTGGTCACGTGAACAGGAGGCAAGATTTGACAGTTTAGTTTTATTGTAACAAAACGTGATTAGAATTATTTACAATGGCAATAAGATACAAAACAAAATATGAATTGGACAACATAATTTTTCTTATCTATGAAAAGGACAATGACATGCTGTACAGCAATGAATATCGAAGCAGAAGATTCAGTCAACATATTTGCCAAGAATATCTCCGTCCCGGAACAGGAAATAGTCCTAAAGAGAGTTAATAAAAATTATAAAATTATAAATTCATAAAACGACTAAGCATTTTTTTTCTTGTTTATTTGTTTTTGTTTTTTTTCACATTCCTTACCTTGTCATCTAGAATGACTTTAGTTCCACCATATTCAGGGAGAAGGACCTTCTCTCCAACTTTTACACTCACAGGCTGAACATTTCCTTTCTGGAAAAAAATAAATAAAAATCAGACATTGAGTGGCAAATAAATAACTGCCTCCCAGCGTGTTAATAAAAAGATGCTTACTTGATTTACGGACCCAGGTCCAACTGCTACTACTGTGGCCTGAAGCACTTTGCCTTGAGACTTCTCTGGCAGCATAATGCCCCCTTTAGTTACTGTCTCTGCTGTTAAACGCTCCACTAACACACGGTCAAACAGGGGTAGGAATTTTCTGAACGCCTGAAAGTAGCGGTTAAAGTTAAAACATTAATTATAATATTACACACATACAAAACAAGGACTTCAAATGTGTAAGAAACTGCTCAGTGAATAGACGCAGTTCTTAAAAATGGCTACTGGTTGCACACGATTTGCAGTTTCCTCCTCAGATCTTCAGGTCTTCACTATGTTGTAATTTTGATCATGTGTCACAGAGGTGAGGCACATTAGGTAAACTATCACCAGACAACAATTTGATAATAGATGCTGGTAACCTTGGTTGAAGGTTGCCTGAGGGAGGGATGGGAGGGAATAGGTCACATGATGCAATGTCTAAGTAAAGTTTGTAGAAAGCTGCCGGATATGTCTTTCATAGGTGAATGTTTATCCAACAAGGGTTAAGGGGAACAAGGACTGCTCATTGGCTAGATAACGTTTTTAAGATAACTGTGATGAGTGTGACAATCAAGGACACATGGTTAAAGAGAGAAGCCATTAGAGCTTATGACTCCAAGGTCTTGAAACATGGACTTACTAAAATCAAAGTGCTGGACTTCAGTTTCTTTATGTTACAACCATAGATGTATATGGTTACAGAATCAATTGGGGTGTCTATTGTTGAATACCATAAGATATTATTTAAAATATAATTGGGTGCAAACAAGTTCATATTATCCCTCATATTTTAATGTTGCATTTTCTATTAAAACTTCACAGGGTATAGGCTAAATGACAATGCTAATGGCAGCTTTCTAATGTAGAAATAAATTATTAAAGTAAGTAAAATAATTAGTTCAATCGATGTATGGGATTATCAGAAATCTCTGTAGCTAATTGTAAATGTCACTGGAGAATGAATGCTGATCACAGCCAGAAGAACAAGATCTCCTAAAAAATATCACAACTTTTACCTTAACAAGTGACAAAACTGTAACCATGAGTTATTCATGCACCTCAGGATGCTCACACAAGTATCTTTCCTCTCAGTGCATTAACATGGGGTTCGTCACACTGCATGAAACATTTAAGTGCAAATTACGAAGACAACGCTGAAAAGAAGGCTTAGAGCCTTGTCTCCAGAGTGACCTTGTCAAGCAGATGTTGGCTAAGTTCTAGTTAGCCATATCAAATGGTTAGCATCAAGAAGCTAAATGCACATTTTCTATGGCTTCTCGGCTGTGGAGAAGACTTAACAACAAAAGCGTTTTGTTAAACGTGTCTTACCATTTGTGTATGAGTGTGGTCTGATAATAAGCGCAGAGCTGTACCCCGGTATCTGACACAGCGTGGATGGATGGGACACACTGGGGGAGTCCAAGTGCTTCCAACACGTGAAGAAATATCCAGAACTGATGTACGCATGCGCACAAGGTGTTACACTTCAAATCATCCTTGCAGAAATTTCTAGTACATTTAGACACATTGAATAACTGTCATCTGTAGATTACAGGCTTGTCCCACAGGTGATATCATGCACACACACACATATTAAGGACACATGACAAACTAGTATCCATTTTTAGTAATTTTAAGTTGAAGCAATGTTGCACAATGTCAACTTTGACCTCCACCCTTTCCTCCAATGGCACAGGCGAAAATTCTGGAATTGTCCTCCCGGAAATGAGCATTGCCAAGGTCTCTGTCTTATTTGAGCGTAAAGTGAATGAAAGAGTTGCCCAAGTCATCAGTATAAAGAAGGAATTATATCCAATGAATACCATAATGTGTAAAATACTCATATCATATACAATAAAGTCATCTCAGGCAACAAAAAAGATTCCCAATTATATTATACATGGTCCTGGGTACGCCGGCAAATTACCCGGATGTGAAAGACCATGTGCAGTCCCATCTGAAAAAGCCACTCGCACCTCACCACTGTCCTCAGCTACTCTCGTTATATCACTCCAAGGAGCAGATCCGCACCTTGTGGCTAAACTTTCCCGCAAAAGTAAGGACTGTCATTTACTCTTCCCTTTCTATAATGCTATGGATGTTACGGATTAATCAGTGCATGGTTCAGTAAATCGAGTTTTGAATGTGTAGCGTATGTTGGGGTGCTTTACACATGTGTGTTATTTTATCACGCTTTAGCACTGCTAGTTTTGCTCGCTCTTGGCTAGCATTTGGTGACCGTAGAAGTATGCATCAGACAGACCTCCCATTGTTTTTAAGCGACAGCTGCTTGTGACCACTTAGGTACAAATCAGGCTTATAATTGTTTAATTCAGATCGTTTTTAGCAAAAGTATTAGATGCACGGTTACTTGAAGGTTCAATGAGCTAAAATAATAGTTTTATCTCAGTAACATGATGATGATAGGAAGGGTTTAATTTGCATCATTTGAAGTTGTACATGACAGCTGTTTGTGAAGCGTTAGTAAATGAATGAGACAGCTCTGACTCTGGTCTGGGATGGAGAGACTTCCGTACATGCTTTTCAGTTTGACCTTGTGACGCACGACCTGAGGGGACACGTGGGGTAACAAGGAACTGATTTCGGAACTCAATTAAAATGTTGCAGTCTTTTACCCTTTAGTTAAACACAACCTATGAGTGGCTTAGCTATAATGATGAAGTATACTGTTGTTTGTTCATTCATAGAATAATTATTTCACAAATTTGGTGTTACTGTTGTAGTAACATGATGTTCATTCCAAAAGAAGTATAACAGAATCTTCTTTTACATTAGCTCAGGTTAGCTGATATTTGTTTAACAGCACAGATAAATTTCATTCATTTGTAGCAGTGCCACTTGTAACCACCAGAGGAATTACTGAAAATTATTATTGATTTTTGTTGTGGA